AAAGGTACTTGGTCAAGGACCAATGGTCATACTAATTTACATGATTAGAGTGGCCAGATTTCATTTGGTTTGAGTGCACTTATCATAAACATATAACAATGATTATAATTAACAGGTATTACTAATACTGTAATATGCTTTATGCGAATTGATTTGAATAGTACATTAGAATAGCAATTAACTTATTTTGTGGCATAAATTGTAGTCACGCCAAATATATGTTACTTTCACATACCGTATTTTCACTCCATCACAGCTAATACTCTAATTATAGCTTGATAAATTTAACTCCATGTGTGTTTAAATACTACACATTGCAAAAATTTAATAGGAGTACAACTACAGTACATATCCCACGTTCATAAAAAAAATTACCAACAATATGAAAACTATTGTTTGTGATATATATTGCAGTTAGCATCGCGTACTGCATATTTCTGCGGGTATTTTAGCTGAGATTAGTTTTAATTGCAAAATATGTGTAAATATGTTGATGCATGTGAAGAACATATACTGCACGTGATTACAATTTGTCAGGTAACATTTATTTTGATCAAATTGATCTACTTTAATTAGTTGTCATTTCCATAAAATGACTCAATTGTTGCCATTGAATGATAAAATGCATTTAATGTTGAGTTGAGATCATTTAATACTGAATTGATTTAAATTGAGTTATCTATTGAGTGGTGACTTGAGTGACAAATACCACCTCTTATACGTTATGGCGGGTCTCATATGTACATTCAATTGTTGGCTTCGACTCTACTGGGCTTCAAATTGTGTGATCAATGATCACATCTAATGTAATTATATTGTAATGCATTTTCTATTTGATAAGTTTTCTATACTATTACAGTAATATGCGATTAATTATGAATAAATTATATTCACTTCATATAGAGATGAATCCGAGATTTTGAGTATACATATGAGTGTTTGCAGAAAAGGGGAGGCAATGGGGCCGTTACCCTTACTATAATTTGAAAATCTATAAAAACCGTGTATAAGATATAAGAATAGATTCAAACTAAAATATCTCAAAATTAAACTTTGGGTTATTGAGGCACTCTTGTCGTCTTTTACGCCTAAAAACGACTACTTTAGTGATGTTATAGAGGTATGGATTGGCACAGAATCCTGAGATCTTGTAGGGACTCTCGAGTTCTTTGAGCAGATCAGCTGCCAATTTGAGCACATGATTAGCTAAAGTGAGCTCTTCTTTCTTATGAGGCTTTTGTTCTAATTGTAAATACAAATTGATTTGTTCTGTGATTAAAATCGAGAGGTTTTCCCTATATTTGCGGTTAATTCTGGAGCCGAGAATCATAAGACGCATGATATATAGGCCTAACGCCAGGTTCCAGAACACCATTTCCCAGCAGTAGAGCTTTGCGGCACACATTTCCGACTCCTTCAACAGTTGCAGACATATGAACGTCAAAATGCAAACCGCAATCACAAAACTACTCGAGCAGATGGCGTCCACCGATCGGATGGGCCCGTGTCTGGCAATACATGTATAACAAGTGATTAATGTTAGCAAATGGTGTCAAAAGAATACACACCTTCTGAGATAAGAGCGGACGGAAAGCCATGCTTTAAGATTTCTGACCTTATGAAGCCTAAAGTGAGGCACTTCTGAACGTTTAGCCCTATCTCTTCTCGTCAATTGAGAGAAATATTTTGCGTACAAAAAGCGCTTCAAATTAAAAGGATTGAAGAAATGGTGAAGTTTATTGGCATCGCATAGTACATGATTATGATTGACAACTACTTACTTGTTTGAATGTACGTTCGGCTACACATAGTAGGAAAAAGTAGAGCATAGATAGCACACACCTTTCTACCATTGCTATCAATACTACACAACGTACTCTTCACATAGAGTTCAATTTCATATTAATTTAGCCATTCATGTCATAATATATAAGTAAGTTTACAATTACCTCCAATTTGAACCGAAAATACATTCTCCGATGAAATATAAATCAAGTGTTGGAAAGTTAAGTAAATCTATGATTTCTGAGGTATTTGTCTGAGCGCTGGCAGAATTGCCATTCTGTTGAACCCGGAAAAGGCCGGGAAGTATTGCCAATATTATTGAGAAAACAAAACCCAAATAAATGTATTCAGAGCTGTGTTTAATTGAATCCACTTTTCTGATGATTGATGAGCTTATGTCGGCCACAGAGAGATCCACTTTCTGACATTCGTGTTGTTGCCAAACGGCACAACTCACTAATCATTAAATTCATTGAATTACCAATAGTTTCAATGTTTGAATTGTTTAATACCTTTAGTTTCATTGGTGTTGTCGTCGTGAGAGTCGTGACACAACTCATTAAAGATTGTGTAGAGCGGAGCCGACACTTCTTCGCCAAATTCGGGATAAATGAAATACTTGGCAGCAGTAGAAGTGGTGGTCTCCTGATGACTGTCGTCCTCATCAGAAGTGCCCTCAGAGTTAATTAGCGGCCAATCGAGATCTGATGCCATTCCCATTCCCTATAAGTACAGTACAGTTGTGTTAATTTGATATTTGCATTCAAACAAGCCTTCATATGAGACCGGAGTGGGAGTGTTAGGAGTGGTGGGCGATAGCGTGCCCTCAGATTCACAGGAAGAATAGTCTTTGTGTTTGTGATGATTAACCGGTGGAGACAAATGTAAAGATTTGATTCGTTTGCGTTTCTTTGATCTTAAAGTGTCTCTATATTTGTTATTCTTGGCGTCTTTACTGCCTTCGGAATATCTGCGAGAAGTGACTTCCAATTCGTTCATATTATTCAGTTTTCTTTTACTTTTAAAAGACTTGGAATCTGAAAATCTTCGCCAAAAATATTGATTACAAGAACTGTCTTCGAGATCAAACTCATCAGAACTGAGATCTGAATTCTCGACAGAAATTCTTTCAGTGATTTGAATGCTAGGAATAGTTGTCTCAAAGTTTAATCTCTCAATTGATGAAAGCCCTCGTCTTTCACCCAAAGGTTTGTTGGAAACGACATCTTCTTTGATGTCAAGACTGCCTAAACCGCTCTCATCATCAGAACCACCCGTTTTAACAGTCCGTGTCTCTGACTTTTCGGTTCCCTTATCTGGAGATTGTTTTGGTTTTCTTTTTCTTTTCTTTTTCTGCAAATTCTGTGAATTTGTCGCATATTTTGAGGGATGAAAAGAAGACTGAGTTTTGTTGACTAATTTGGTTCCGACTATCTGTGTGTGAATGACTCCAAGTATTGTCATCATAACGATTGGCATCAATACTTCAGATGCGGGCACTTCTGAAAACTGGTCAGAAGTAGAAGACAAGCCGTCCTCGAAGTATATGCGAAGTGAAATCACTTGCAATACATATAAAGCAAGTAATAGAAGACATATGAATGCATTTGTCTGTTCTCTCCACCACTTGAGATACAGAGGCAGAAGAATAACACGATTGATACCGGAAAAGGTGGCCGAAAGCCATCCCTGTTGTGACTTGGCTTTGGTGAAGGCCGTGCCTCGGATCAGATCCAGATCTATCAGCTCTGTCTTCACTTTGGCTACCTTTTTGGGAATGGCATTCACACCACTCATACCACTCAATCCCTTCAGCATCCGTTCATCAATAGTCTGTTCCCACTTTTGCTTATCATACGAACCAATCTATTCGTTCATTAATTCAAAACAATTTTCATTTAATAAACTATTTTAAATCAATTTCACGAAAACCTTCTTTCAGTCCATTTTTACTAAACAATTATAATATTATAAAAACTCAAATAATAACAAATTGATTGAAATTAAATTTATATTTAAATTTTAATATTATATAATATGACCATGTACAATCAATAATAGGTTTGTTTTATTATATCAATTATTTAATTGCTTTTTGAATGGTTTAGCATTTTTAAAGATATTTTGTTATAAATATATATATGATTTAAATTCGTATTTAATACAATTTTAATGCATTTAATTACCCTTTAATACAAAAACAATAACAAAATACATTCATTTGAAATATATTTTCGGTTTAAATAAAAAATATTAATTAAGAATAAAATAAAAAATAAATATTAAAATAAAAATTAATACAAAAAGATAAACAAAATGTAATCAAAATGTAATCAATTATTCAATTATTAAATACCTTTTTCTGATACGAAGACAATATATTATCCATTGTTTCGACGATTTCTATCAAATAATAATAATAATAATAATAATAAAATTATATATAACTCTAAATATAGTGTATATATACTGTATATATTGTATATACTTTATAAATGAGTATCAGATATAACTGGAAATGTGAGATCACATCTCAATTGAACACGAATTCAGAACCAATTCATTGTAATTGTTCTGTCATTGAGTGTCACAACAGTTAGCCATTCACTCAACTCATACACAACACTAGACTCCAAATTAAATTCCCTCATTTCATACATACATGTATAGTATGTCCGCGAATGCAATCTCCATTCAATTTACATTAAAGGCTTTGCGCACAAATAATGGGCAAAATGCCAACAATTTTACATTGAAAATTGTGACTAATTTTTATTTCAATAATTTAATCATTATTGTAATCGCAATTAAAATGGATGAGTCGAGTCAAATAATTACGTGAGTCATCATAACAAACGTATACAATTGTAACCAACTTTTATATTTTTCTAATTGCGTCCGAATTTAACGATTCTTTCAGAATATTCCTCTCATCCGTACCTTTCTATTGATATCTAACTTAAACGCAGATTCAAAGACCATCTGTGCTTACATGTGACGTATGTCTGGGATATTCCAGTTATTGCCCTCAGTTTACCAGAGATACGGATTACTAAATATTAGTAATACCTGTTAATTATAATCATTGTTATATGTTTATGATAAGTGCACTCAAACCAAATGAAATCTGGCCACTCTAATCATGTAAATTAGTATGACCATTGGTCCTTGACCAAGTACCTTTAAAATGTATTTTTCAGCTACAATATTTTTAATGAATAATTAATGTATTTCATTATTGAGTTATAGTTATGAACGAAAGAATATTATATTTGTGAATATTTTCAAATGTTATTGGCATTGAATATAAAATTAAACTGTACTTAAAATTACTGTACTATACAGTACTGTACACTATTGTGAACGAGATTTAGTTTTGAATCCCATATTTGTTGCTATATTCTTAAAAGTGCTGAAAGTCCTACAAAGTTAAGTTAATACTATTGATTCATTATTATGAATAAATAACTATATTTTAAATAATTAAAAATAAAAATCATGTATTAATTGACTGTTCATTGCATGAGTTTATTAATGAATTGTAACAAAAAGTGTTCGTTTGTGAGAAGTGAGGGATTGTCTGCACTTTGAGTGAGTAATTCAATGAATGGCATGTCTTGAGGGAAGTGGTGCTCAAAATGACTGATTAATTGTGTGTTGAAATTCTCCACAATTAACTCGAGTTGTGTTTTGTTGAGAGCTTTGACTAAATAATGAGTGAATGAATGCAAATGAGTGGCAATGAAATGAAGGCATTCCTTGAGATGGAAGTGAAACTCTTGTCTCATATAAGTGTTGAGAGTATTGTTGTCTTTAATGAGGTTAGTGTACGAAGAGATGAGACGGGAATGCGTTTGCATTACACACACATCCAGTTCTGTCGGTGACGTCCAGCAGAACGTCTCGCTTATCATCAATGATAACAATTCTAATGGAAGTCTTGGCTCCACCGCCAGAAACGACAACACTTTCAAACATTTCAGTTTGTAGTAAATGTCAACAAATTTGGGTTTAAATGACTCGTCAGTATTGGTGTGAAAGAAGTGTTGGTCAGCTTTGGATGTGATAGCCATGGATGTGATGAGGAGATTGAGTCGAGTGAAGGACCAATCGATGCATTCATCGTATTTGTAACCATTATCTGCCGGTCTGTAATTGTCCACCAAATCAAGACTCGTGCGGATCTCGTGTTCAACACTTCTTGAGAGGATCACAATCTGAAGCCATTCGTCCAAATGTATGCAATTTGTGGCCATTTGTGGCAAAAGTATTTCAACGAGTCGTCCGTTGAGTCGTGAATATAAACCACTAATCGATTCATTGCTTGCATTGAAATAGCATTTCAACAAAAGACGATTCAATTTAGGCATTGAATGAAATGCTGACAACTCTAACAATGCGTACAATAGTATCGGTTTGGCCTCATCTCCAACGCCGCCAACGCCGCCAACGCCGCCAACGCCTCCCGAAGACATCACTCATGAGTCATAAATGCATTGCACGAGTGATGACTGCAATCAACAGCAATAGTGTTGTGTTTGTGATGTGAGGCGCGAGTCGTCGCTGCGATCGGACACTCCTTTGGCAGATGTGTTGCAATTGTCGGCCATTTTGAGTGTTATTCACTCTTTCGACGATTGCATCGCTTCTGCCATTCAATGCCAGTATTGAGTGACCAGTGATTGAGTCACATCAGGACATCACCCCATTTGATCCATTGGTTCGCATCTTCTCTCAGCATTACGAACGCCTTTATATTTGAAGACATCCTTCCCATTATGTATCCATTGGGCGGTCAACGTATGTATACATATGTACATCACTACCATTACATCCATCACATCCACACCACACACCACTCACACCACTCATTGCATCCATCATTCAATCATTCAATTGATCAGTAGTTTGTAATGAGTCTGTAATGACTGATGAGTATAGTATGCATTTGTGTGGTATGAGTGGTATATGGGATGAGTTGGTGACTGTCACACATTGGGGTCATTGTATTGATTGTATTGATATAGCGTTGAGTGCCATAAGGCCTGCACTCACACAATGCCTTATCGTTGATCACATTTATGCTATACTTTGAAACAATCATTTGTTGCCATTTTATACATGTATGTAATAACGCCTTGTTTTGGTGACACTCCAGCTCCGGGACCCCCCGGCCCGAGAGGTATGACACCGATGGCGCCCCCGCAGATGGCTCCCGGACAGCAGCCACCGATTGGGCCTCCAATGGGTGCGATGATGACAGGTGTTCCCGGTGTGCAGGGATCGAGTCTGGAGAACGTTTTGCCTGTGTTTTTATGTCCGCGAAGACCTAATATTGGAACGGATGGGCGGTTAATAACTCTACGGGCGAATCATTTCCAGATAACGATGCCGCGGGGGTTCCTCCACCACTACGACATCACCATCACTCCAGACAAGTGCCCGCGAAAGATCAACAGAGAGATCATCGAAACCATGGTTCAGTCCTACTCCAAGATCTTCGGCACTCAGAAACCGGTGTTTGACGGCAGGAAAAACATGTACACTCGCGACGACCTCCCCATTGGCAGGGATAAGGTCTGTCCATTGAAGCACTTTCTCTAGTAATAGTATATTGTATTGAATGCTTTGAATCTATATTTAGGTCGAGTTAGAGGTTACCCTTCCGGGAGAGGGTAAGGATAGGGTGTTTCGAGTGGCCATTAAATGGGTCTCTCAGGTGAGTCTCAATACTCTGGAAGAAGCACTGGAAGGCAATTCGCGAGCCATACCTCTGGACTCTATACAAGCTCTGGACGTTGTTATGAGACATTTGCCGTCAATGACATACACACCGGTCGGTCGTTCATTCTTCTCATCGCCGGACGGCTATTATCATCCATTAGGAGGCGGACGCGAAGTATGGTTTGGGTTTCATCAAAGTGTTCGTCCGTCACAATGGAAGATGACTTTGAACATTGACGTGAGCGCCACCGCCTTCTATAAGGCACAGCCTGTCGTCGAGTTCATGTGCGAAGTGCTCGACATCCGAGACATCAATGAACAGAGGAAACCATTGACTGACTCGCAGAGAGTGAAGTTCACCAAAGAGATCAAAGGTCTGAAGATCGAGATCACGCACTGCGGGGCAATGCGCCGCAAATACCGAGTGTGTAATGTGACCCGAAGACCGGCACAGTTGCAGTCATTCCCATTGCAGTTAGAGAACGGCCAGACCGTGGAGTGTACGGTCGCCAAGTATTTCCTGGACAAGTATAAGATGAAACTACGGTACCCTCACCTGCCGTGTCTGCAAGTGGGTCAGGAGCACAAACACACGTATCTGCCCCTCGAAGTGTGCAACATAGTTGCCGGGCAGCGCTGTATCAAGAAGTTAACTGATATGCAAACCTCAACTATGATCAAAGCCACCGCCCGGTCAGCTCCCGATAGGGAACGCGAGATCAATAATCTCGTTAATAAAGCGGATTTCAATAACGATCCATACGTTAAAGAGTTTGGTCTATCCATCAGTAATCTAATGATGGAAGTCAAGGGTCGAGTATTACCGCCGCCTAAACTACAATATGGAGGCCGTACTAAACAACAGGCGATTCCCAATCAGGGCGTATGGGATATGAGAGGCAAACAGTTCCATACGGGCGTTGAGATCAGGACGTGGTCTATAGCCTGCTTTGCACCCCAACGCACATGTCGTGAGGACTCTCTTCGCAATTTCACGCAACAGTTGCAGAAAATCTCAAACGACGCGGGAATGCCAATCATAGGACAGCCCTGTTTCTGTAAATACGCTACCGGTCCGGATCAGGTGGAGCCCATGTTTCGATACTTGAAACAGACATTCCAAGGCTTACAACTCGTGGTCGTCGTTCTGCCCGGAAAGACACCCGTTTATGCAGAAGTGAAACGAGTGGGCGATACAGTGCTCGGAATGGCCACTCAATGCGTTCAGGCCAAGAATGTCAACAAGACTTCACCACAAACTCTATCCAATCTGTGTCTCAAGATTAACGTCAAATTGGGAGGAATTAACAACATTTTGGTGCCCAATATTAGGTATGTATGCATTGATGCCATGATATGATGTTTGCTCACTGTGTTGTGTTTTCTAGGCCTAAGGTGTTCAACGAGCCTGTGATATTCCTGGGGGCAGATGTCACTCATCCTCCGGCTGGTGATAACAAGAAGCCTTCCATTGCGGCTGTGGTGGGCTCTATGGACGCCCACCCGAGCAGATACGCGGCCACCGTTCGTGTTCAACAGCACAGACAGGAAATCATACATGACTTGTCAACAATGGTTAAAGAACTACTCATTCAGTTCTATAAGTCGACTCGTTTTAAGCCAAACCGTATCATCTTTTATCGCGATGGAGTATCTGAAGGACAATTCCATCAGGTGTTGGCTCATGAGTTGCTGGCCGTCCGCAGTGCGTGTATGAAACTCGAAGACGACTACAGGCCTGGCATTACATTCATTGTGGTTCAGAAACGACATCACACGAGACTCTTCTGCGCCGATAAGAGGGAGCAAATCGGGAAGAGTGGTAACATTCCCGCCGGTACTACAGTCGACGTCGGTATCACTCATCCAACTGAGTTTGACTTCTACCTGTGCTCTCACGCTGGCATTCAGGTATATTATATTGAATTTGCATGTATTTGTATTTACACATGTTTATTGTTTTTGTATTATTAGGGAACGAGTCGTCCCTCTCATTACCACGTTCTTTGGGATGACAACCAATTTTCAGCTGGTATTTGATATATGGTTTGTTTGCCGCCAATGATTGACTGATTGGATGTTTGCTTACAGATGAGTTGCAATGCCTGACGTATCAGTTGTGTCACACATATGTGCGGTGCACGCGGTCGGTGTCGATCCCGGCTCCTGCCTATTACGCCCATTTAGTGGCGTTTAGAGCCAGATATCATTTGGTGGAGAAAGAACACGACAGGTATGACCACTGATTTGCTTATTTATCAATGCATACACTAAATACAGTATTAAAGCAATGATGAGAGAGATGTCGGGCATTGGGCTCACAATCACAAGCATTTGAAATAAGCCATAAATTCCTGCATTTCTTTTCTGATGCCATAAAAACGACGTTTAATTTTGTATTTAAAATACAAAATATATGTATTTGAAAGCAATTAATGAGCGAATGAACTGATTTCACATATTGTTTTCGATGCAATCTTTTGTTTAAAGGATCAGTCAATTGGACTCTGAAAGTCATTCTGGGCTCACGTCAGGAGAAACTGAATTCAGGTTTAAATTAGGATTTAATATACAATTTAATGCATCAAATCAGCTCAAAGTTGTTCACAAAAACCATTTTCTGATTATTACTTCTTAACTGTCCTTTTCATTCATCAAATCTATTTTAACCTCTCGTTCATATCTATTGATATTTGCGTCTCATGTTCTCAAATGTTGCATATTTGCAGTAAACGTAATTTCAATTTCAATATGTTAAGTTTGTCATTCAAATAGTATTAATGCTATTATTGATTGCATTTCAATAAATATAATTATTTGCGTAATAATCAAAATTTTTGTCAACAAATGTTGAGCCCATCACTCATATCACTCATGATTGCAATATTGATATCATTTCTAATATGAGTTTTTCAATTATTTGTTAACAAATTAATTGATTGTAATGTTTTTTATTTGTTTTTTGAATGGCTTTTTAGTGGCGAGAGTTCGAGTCATCACTCGGGCACTAACGGTGACGAGCGGACAGTGACTGCGTTAACCCGTGCGGTGACAGTACATCCGGACACCACTAAAGTGATGTATTTTGCTTGAGAAGACTTCACACAACTCCTCTTTAGTCTAAATGTTTTAATTGTTGTGCAGTTAACCAATTAATAGACATTATGTTGTGTCCCGATGTTAACACATGTGACCACTTCTTATCACTATTTATCCCAAAAAGAGTTGACACCAGTTTTGGTCACTATGTGTTCACATTTAATATAACACAGCAACCGCTCCCCTCGACTTCCCTCCCACTCCCACTCCCCTCACTCTCCATTCAATGATGAAAAGGTGTTGAATGTGAATAATATAGAGTGAATATTAAATCATATGATAATGGGATGTCATTTAGACATTAATTGATATACAATTAGTATTGACTCTATATTAGTATCATTTACACGACACGCCATAACTTAGGCTATAATAAACCTATCAATTGTTAACACATAAACTTATTAAGTCTATCATAACCTAACCCTTAACATAGGGCTATATTTTGCCCTTAGTTTACACTTGAGGCCCGAGTTAGGGCCGGGCTATAGAATTTCAAGTACAGGCTTTTTTGTTTGTTATGCTCCGACATGTTTTATCATATACAGTACATATACAGTATATATACAATATATTTATTAATTATATTATTATTGATCAACGATTAGTGGAATAAGTGTTGATTGTATTAATGGTGTTGTGATTGGAAAACATTTTATCACTTATTTTACATAAATTTAAATCAATTGTCAATTAATTGAAAAATAATCATTATTTTCACATTTAGTCGCTTCACAACAAAACACTATTATTTAGTTTCAAACTACACTTAATTTTGTTTAACTTTTTATATAAATATTTATTCAAAATTATGAATTTTCAACCACTTTTCAACCTATTTTATTCATGTGTTTTGAACCCTGTATTTAACATATATCCTATTTATCAAATAAATTCACCACAATTAGACTATTATTGTTATTATTATATTACAAATGTACACTTGTACAAAAAATGATGGTAATCATGGCGATATCGGTAAGTACCAAGTAAGTATCAATTATATGAACTAATTACCAATATATGCAACATTACATAGAATATGAACACACAGTACTCTGATTATCATAGTGTGGAATATCATGTAAAATGGGTTCAATTAATTATACTATCATTTGATACAATGTTTAATGAGTAAGAAATTGAGACATTTTGTGTTCAATCATACATTACAGTTAACGTAATACAGTATAATAAGTAAAGTATCGATTTTTGATATCACCATTACATGTATAATATGAGCGACCGGGACGTGAATAAACGTCCAGTTTTAGTGTTACTGCTTATGTAACATACTTGTATGAGTTATACTTTGTAATAATGATTGTTTGAGTGTATTTACTCTCATAAAGGGATAAAAGTTGCATCAAATCTATTTTAGGGATCAAATGGAGCCCACGTTTTGGATTCATTTTGAATCCACTAAAATTGGTTTACAACTGAATTGTGCCAAACGTAATGACATGTAAAGTACGGCTTTCACACTAATATATACATTAATATACACAAACGAGTTAGTTACAAAACTTGTAATCAAACATTACTAATGTATATTTTAATGTTAGTGCGCTTTTTAAATCAATTTGAATCAATTTACATTATGGTAAGTTTTTATAACAGTAATTTATAGAGTCTCTATTTTTCGGGAATTCCCGATTTTCCCGAATTTTCCCGATTTTGGCACTTTTTGAGAAAGATTTTCTATCAAAATACTAATGAATTTGCTCACAGAATACCAAAACTTGCTGCAAAATTAAGATTATTAATTATTTTTGCATCAATAAATGTCATTATTTTGTTTCGTTAGTGCATATAAACCTTATAAAAATCACTTAAATACATAATTATTATGTGAAAATNAAATTAAGATTATTAATTATTTTTGCATCAATAAATGTCATTATTTTGTTTCGTTAGTGCATATAAACCTTATAAAAATCACTTAAATACATAATTATTATGTGAAAATCCAATTAAAACGTAATTCTCGAATTTTCCCGATTTTGGCCATGTATACTCCCGAATTCACGTGTTTTTATTCCCGAAAAATCGAGACTAGTAATTTATAAGTTACAGTTGTGCCATAAAATTTGCCGTTATTTGTGTTCATTCTTATACAGTATTCACTATAATTTGATTTTTAATAATAAGGTTGAAATGTTGAGCAAAATATAGTGTTATTATACCGTAATTGAAAAATACAGTAAATGTATTTGTTTTACATTTCTTACGTCTCTTTGGTCGACATTTGAAATATATTGACAAAACATATGCTTATTATTAATCAATTATAGTTATTAATAGTTATTATTAATGAGTTAATTAAGTTGACAAATTGAAAGTGTTAATAAATGCTACAAATATAAGTTATATTACCTAACGTTAAATAAAGCCTAAAGTTTAGGGTCTAAACCACTCGTTATACACATCCCTATTAAATGCGTGAATATATGATGTGTTTTGTATGTAATATTGAATTGAATTAAAAAGTGGTAATAATTGTGCATAAATTGATTGCTGAGTGAATATACGGCGAATGATGTCATCTCAGGTGACGTGTGGTAACTGTGGATCAAATGAAGTGGAGTTTGAGTCGAGTCGAGGCGACACGTATTGCACGCGATGTGGTTTCGTAATCGACCAAAACTGCATCGTTTCCGAAGTGCTCTTCTCGGAGGGCACTCATGGCTCCAACCATATCATCGGACAAAGACATGACACCGAATCCGCCTTCAAGTCATTCAGGTTACCACTCATTACCACTCTTTCCACTCATTGCCATATCATTACTAACCGTTGTTTGTATTGTCAGTATTGGAGGCATTCTTGGAGCGGGACGTGAGTCAAGACAAGTGACTCTTATGAACGCTAAGCGACGGATCAAAACAGTTTGCGATCAGTTGAGACTGAATGACCACTTCATTGAAATGGCATTCAATTTCTACAAAATGGCTTTGAATCGGCGGCTGACTCACGGCCGCAAACACGTGCACGTAATCGCCGCTTGCATTTACATCACCTGTCGCTCGGAGGGCACGCCTCACATGCTCTTAGACCTGAGCGATGTCTCGCAGGTCAACGTCTATGAGTTGGGCCGCACTTATCTCAAGCTGACCGCTGCTCTCTGTATCACTATTCCAGCCATTGATCCGAGTCTTTACATCATTAGATTTGCTCAACATTTGAATTTAGGTAAGAACTGGCCATCACTTGCACGGCTTGTGTTGAATTGAATGACTCATTTGTGGCTATTTTAGGCGAAAAGACTAATACAGATGTGGAGAAAATGCGAAACAATGTCATCTCAACGGCTAATAGACTCGTACAGCGAATGAAGAGAGATTGGATGCACTACGGAAGGCGACCATCGGGTTTGTGTGGGGCCGCCATTCTTGTTGCCGCACGTCTTCATGAAGTTCACTGCTCTATCAAAGACATCATAAAAGTGGTCAAAGTTTGCGAAACAACGATTCGCAAGCGTTTGTGTGAATTCAGTGAAACTCCGACCAGTAATCTAACTCTCGATGAGTTCATGACTATAGACTTGGAGGGAGAGGAAGACCCGCCATGTTTTAAGGCCAATAAACGCAAACAAAAGTTGTGTCAATTTGAAAACGAACAGCAATTGGAAGAAATTCAGACAAAAATAAGTCATTTACAAAAACTTATTGAAAAAGATTTAGAAAAAAGTCGTCAAAAACTTAGAAATCCTTTTTCTAAATACTTGAGAACCGAAACCACCGTCTCTTTAGAGCCCAAGAGTGAGGACTCAGCGGTCGAACAATTCATTTTAGACGATACCGTCCATACGATCGAGAAAGTGCTCACCGATGAGAACACCAATAATTACGATAACTATATGCAAAGTATTAAGTGTTTGCGACCGACGGCCGCCAGTTTAGGCATTACTTCGGTTATAGAACCAAATGATACCAATTGTGACCAAAAGGATGGCCAAGAATTGGTTGAAAGTGAAGAACTAGACCTGACGGGTATCGATGACACAGAATTAGACGGATATTTGTTGTCGAGCGACGAAATAGACGCCAAAACCAATGTGTGGACTCGAGTTCATAGGGAATATTTGGATGAATTGAAACTGAAAGAGCAATTGAAAGCCAAAGAAGATGAAGAGCGCAAACGAAAAGAAGCTTCGGGTGAAGTCCTGCCTAAGAAGAAGAGGAAAAGTCGTAAAAAGACTCAAATTCAAGCCAACAGTGCTTCGGAAGCGATTGAAAAGATGTTACTCGAGAAAAAGATTTCCAATAAAATCAATTACGAAGTGTTGAAGAATTTAAACCCAACTTTTGGTCAAATGAGTGAAAACCTTAAAACTGCTGAACCTTTAGTAAAAAGTAGTGATAAATGTGTTGAATTTGAAGACCAAAAGTCAATTCAAAGCCCACTCAAGCGTTTGACAACACTTAAGAATAGCGGCAATACATCACTCGTGAACCTAAAGGCACCGCTTTTTAATAAACTTAAAATTAAATCATTGGACTCAAAGCCAAACTCATTAGAGAGTAATGATGCGAATGATTCCCACGTGTTGTCCAAACCATTGGAGACTAAACAAGAGTCAAAAGCTATTGATTTAATTAACAATGAGTTGGAAGAGGAATCAGAAGACGAAGACGACGACAAACGCAAAGAGTTTTCCATTCAAGAGCTTCTCGGCTTAGAATCCGCTGACAATGATTTGGATAATCATTATTACGAATACGAAGACGAAGATTATTAGCCAATTAATGCATTCAATATAATTTAATATTATTACTATCAATGTTGTTATTAATTCAATTTATTGATCATTTGAATCACTTATTATATGTTCTCAATGTTCTGTATATACAATATTATGAGAACTTAAAAGCTTCTAATCTTCACAATTATAAGAAATTCATTTTTGAGTTTAATTATCGCATTATTTTAGTTTTTAAAATCATATATATTTATAATTACGTCAAATATCTTTTTGTTTATATAATTGTGATTTTACATTATAGTATACAACACTGTAGTTATGAAATTATATTTTTTATATACAACCTATATTATAATTTATATATAATGTATATATAGTACAGTCTATTTAATTTTATCAATCAATTTAAACGGTTAGATAATTTAATAACAATTTGTATAATAAAGCATTTGATATATTTGTATTAATATTGACAACATTAAATATATTGATTTGTACTAATATTTGTACTGATTTATATACTTATATACTTATTTCTGTCCCCGATTTTGGCCTCTCATCTGGCTGTAAAAATTGTTTGACAAAATTGAATTCTGCTAAAATCGGGTACATTAACAGTACTAATATGACTTGAAGCTAACAAAACCTTATGCTAAAATTGAGGAATGCTAAAATGGCCTGTGCCAAAATCGGGGACAGACTGTACTTCTGTGTGGAATTGTAGTCATAAATAGGATTTCTTTTAAATTTTCGTTGTATTCGAGTTCTAAATTATTGTCAAATTATACCTGAAATACACTGAATCGCTCAAAAACTGCTCTAATTATACCTCTATATAATTGCATTCTTGTGTAAGAATTACATAATTTCCAGCACATGTACACCGTTTAACATGTACTCACAAATTACTGTTAATTTATAAGTAAATTTATAAATTAAGTATTTACACTGTATATTATACAGTAATCATCAATATTTAAACAATTGACATAAATTATATTTAATTTAATTACATACATTTTAATTGAAATTTTAATTACAAGGCATATAAAATTACAGTAACAAATTCTGGATATGTTGAATGTAAAATTCAGCTATAATTTAAATGCTATAATTGTTTATACGATTAATTCTACAATAATTACAACATATGTTGAGAGTTGCATAAAAGTTGTGATTTAAAGACAAATATAAAACCAATTTAAATTCAATGGCAAATTACTTATATTTGAGTCGATATGAGAGGTACCTATAAATAATCTTACATGATCACTGTACATGATCAATGTCACTTAATTGAGTCTCTAGCAGTTGTAGGAATATTTGAACTCTTATTGAAAAGAATAGAATTCTTAATTGTTTCTCCAGAATAATAACTAATTTATGACTTGGTTGAAATCTTGTTGAAATCTTGTTGAAATCTTGTTGAAATCTTGTTGAAATCTTGTTGAAATCTTGTTGATGTATTAATTTAATCATTCGTCAAATTGTTATCATGTATTTAATTGGATATGAGATAAATGAATGCAATGTGTTTATTTCAATGTACTTGTATTCATAATTGTTTTACATTCAGTTTTTAAACATAAAACAATTTAATTGTGAGAATTGTTTATAAAAATGGCTTAAAAATAAAAACATGTGAATATATAGTGTATTATACTTTAGTATAAGAATAATAAAGCGGAGACCGTTTAGGGCCTCAAATTTCCCTAACCTTGAACTCAAACACAAGTTTTTTAGCAAAAGAGCCCTCATATCACACACTCTTTGCACATTGAGTTAGAGTTAAAGTAAAATTATTTTCTCACAACTTATAACTTATTGAGTACTTCTTTTGGCAAATATTTTGATAAATATCAGTTTGAAAGTTGATTTCCACACAAATATCCACTTTTGGCCTTAACTTTATGTTTCAATCAACAAAACAGTCACATATATTATTATCAATTAAATATTCGCTTTATTAAGATTTGGTCTTTGTTTGGATATTATTTAAACATTTAGTTTTACATTAAAGCTGAATATTGTGCGCTATTTTGGATTACAATTAATGACCATTTGATTAAAAATCTTTAAACATTGTTAACTCTAAAATGTCTTTTGATAAACCAGTGAATCAAATACTAAGTGATTCAACAGGTATTGTCTGCGAGAAAAATACAGCGATTAAAGAATTTGCTTGTATTCCGGGACCCAAACCATCACTTCCTCTGATAGGGACGGGATGGCAGTACTTCAAGTACAGTAAGTTATATCATGTTTTCTTATGCACTATTATATGATTATAACGGGATTATATGGTTGTGACAGTTGGTCGATATGATTTGTCGAAACTACATGAAGCCAATCAACACAAATACCACACATACGGCCCCATTCTTAAGGAAGAATATCAATGGCGAAAACCAATTATACATATATTTGATCCAAAAGACTTTGAGGTTGTGTTTAGAAGTCAAGGCAAGTGTCCGATAAGACCTGCAAATGAGTTCGTTTCGCACTATAGACTAAACAATGCGCATAAGTATCCAAACGTTGGCTTATCTAATATGATGGGTGAGGAGTGGTACCAACAAAGACAACTCTTGGCCCCGGCATTGATGAGTTTGAAAGCCGTTCAAAATCACATTCCTTCACAGAATGCAATATGCGATGACTTTATGGACTATTTGTGGCAAATAAAAGATCCAATCAGTAATGTTTTGGATGACTTATCGGACGCTACATATAGACTAGCCTTAGAGTCTATATGTATGATGTGTTTAGACTCGAGATTGGATTGCTTTTCAAAGGAGACAACACAGACGAGTGACGGCCAACTCTTGATATCAGCCACAAAACTGCTATTTGAGAGCTACAATGAATTGTATTACGGAATACCCTTTTGGAAATTCTTTGCTACCAATTCTTACCGCAAATTAGATTCAGCCGAGACTTGCATTTATGAAATAACCTCCAAATATATACAAATGGGCTTTAATTCTATTCATACAAACAAACATCAATTTGAAAGTGTTTTGCAAACTCTGCTCAAAACTAAAGGCTTATCACAAAATGATATTAAAATAACAATAATTGATTTCATTGCTGGAGGAATATTCACAGTTTCCAACACTTTATGCTTTCTATTTTATCACTTGGCATCCAATCCAGAAGTTCAACAAAAGCTGTTCCAAGAGGTGAGTGGTGTGATGGGTGACAGTCCACTACTCACAGCAGATATGATAGCAAACATGCCTTACCTCAAGGCTTGTGTAAAGGAGTGCTTCCGACTCACCAATACTGTGCCCGGAATCACACGAGTGCTCTCACAACCAACTGTTCTCTCTGGTTATCATATCCCGGAAAATGTATTATTCATCGTTTCATATGATTTCGTATTATTTCACACAAATCATGCATTTCTTTCAGACAATCATATTCTCTCATTTGATGGTTACTTCGAGACTGAGTGAATACTTTACGAATCCGTTGAGCTATAGTCCGGAGCGTTGGTTAGGCGCCGACCACTCGGCGTTGCATTCGTTCGCTTCACTGCCTTTCGGTTACGGGAACCGCATGTGTGTCGGCAAACGATTCTCCGAACTCGAGCTCTATTTGTCAACCGCTAAACTCATTAACAGATATCAAATAACTGCTGTTCAGCCCAAACTGGATCTCAAATTTTGCTTTATTATAATTCCCGAACAAAAAATCTCATTAAAACTAACTTTAAGAAAATAGTTATTTTATGCCATATTTATAATTATATCATCATTTTACATATTATTACAAAATAATCATATATTAATCAA